TCTGCTGTCTGTGTTTTCTTCTGCTATGGAGCCTGTTGCTTGGCAATTTAATATTTGCAAAACTGAAGTCTCTGTGTTTTTGCCGCAAACTTTAACGGAATTAAGTAATGTGTTTTTATAAACAAATCAGGAGGAACACTGACTTGAATGTGTCAGTTCTGTAAGGCTGGGCCTTACAGACTGAGCTGTAGCAATGCTGGGGAACCAGGCATCACAAACCAGGGAAACAGTGAATATTGTTATTGTCCAGGCAATTCCTGGCCTGATATGGAAGCTTTTCTGATCTTTCCAGATCAAGGAAAACAATTATCTGCTTGAGTAGCTACCTACCTCTTGAGTTAAGGGCCCTTTTATTAGGTTAACCTTTTGAAGAATGCAAGGAATGTTTTAGCTTGCAGTCATCTTTACTTAGCATACCCAGTTGCATCGGTCAGTGTAGCTTACCCATGGAATAAAACAATGTCACAGAATACTGGAATGGCAGAGTGGAACACTTCACATGGGGACAATATTTTTCAGTGACAACCCCTTAGAGATGCCATTCTGTCCATTCAGCGCTGCCTGGGGGCTGTACTGCAATGGATGCAGGAAAATGGGCTGAGGCTGAACCCGGATAAGATGGAGGTTCTGAGGGTGGGTGCCCCCACTATCGGTGGCTTGGGTGACTCTCTCATTTGGGGGGGTGACCCTTGCCGCAAAGAGTGGGGTTTGCAGCCTGGGGATCCATCTGGACCCGGCGCTCACCATGGAGACTCAGGTGGCGTCAGTGGTCAATACCGTCTTTTTCCATCTTTGGCAGATAGCCCGGCTGCAACCCTATCTCGATAGGGGGGCGCTCACTACCTTAGTTCATGCGCTCGTAATCTCGAGATTAGACCACTGTAATGCGCTCTACGTGGGGCTACTTTTGAAGTTGACGTGGAAATTCCAAGTGGTGCAGAATGCAGTGGCCAGACTCCTTAGTGAAGCGAGAAAATACCACCATATTTCTCCTATTTTGGCCGTGCTGCATTGGCTGCCCATTCGGTTCCGCGTAGACTTCAAAGTCTTGATGCTTACGTATAAAGCCCTAAATGGTTTAGGCCTTCGATACTTGGCGGAACGCTTCCTCCCACCAAGCTCTACCCATGTCACTCGAGTGAGTCAGGAGGTGAGGCTGAGGAGCCTGACGCCGAGGGAGGCCCGGAAGGAGAAAACAAGAAACCGGGCCTTGTCGACAGTGGCTCCTCGCCTCTGGAACAATCTGCCTCCGGAGATTCGCGCAGCTCCCTTGCTGGGTACTTTCAAAAATCAACTAAAAACGTGGATGTTTAGTCAGGCCTTCCCTCTTGTGTAAATAATTCCCTCTTCCCTTCTTTCTCTTCTGTGATTTATTTTTATATGTTCTCCATCTTGTAGAATTGTCTAATTGTGTAAATAATTCCTTTTATATACATGTATTTGTGTTGTAAGCCGCCTAGAGTGGTCGCAATGACCAGATGGGTGGGTTATAAATAGAATAAATAACTAAATAAAATAAATGGAGGTATTGCTCTCTGAATTTTACTGCCCTGCAGTTTTTAGTAGCCCCAATCAGCATGGCCAATGTTGAGGAACCCTGGGAGTTGTAGTCCAAGGATTTTTCTATTCATACCTTAGGAGACATTTCCCTTCTTAAATAAGAGAGAAAGAGAAAAGCTTCTTTTCAATTCTTCTCTTTTCCTCAGAACGATTTCTTTTCTTATTATTATGTGACATCAAGTTTCCTTTGAGTTATGGTGTTCCTATGAATTAATGACCAAAAGATTCTATCTTTAACAGTATTGCTCCGTTCTTGCAAACTTAAGGCCACAGCTTTCTTGCCAACCCATCTTATTTTTGGCGTTCCTCTTTCCTTGCTGCTTTCAACTTTTCCCAACAATTGACTGTTCTAGTAATTCTGGTCTCCTCGTGATGTGTTTAAAGGACAATAGCTTCAGTTGACTCATATTCGCTCCTAAAGAGAGTTCAGACTTGATTTGTGTTAGAACTCAGTTATTAGTCTTTCTGGTGGCCCACACTGTCTCTCCTCCAATAACACATTTTGAATGAAACAAATTTTTGTGTATGTCAGCCTTTTTGATCATCCAGTTTTTGTATCCATGCATTAGATACATGTCAAGATTTGGGGTGTGGAAAATCGTTCTGAGAAAAGTCAGTCTTCCAGGTCAACAGCAAAGAGACTCACAGAGACAGTAGGTTCCTTCACCAGCAGTGTAGTTACAGACTAAGTACAATAGAACCATTTACATCAGTCAACAGACTCAATAATACACTTTCAAGAAATAGATGGGCAGCACTTCTGGCAGCAACTCTCCAACACAACACTCCACACATCACCATAGCGTGTATCACCTGGAAACGCAGGTGGCGTCGGTAGTCCGCACCACCTTCTTCCATCTTTGGCGGATTGCCCGGCTGCGACCCTACCTCGACATGGGGACGCTTACTACCTTAGTACATGCGCTCGTAATCTCAAGATTAGACCACTGTAACACGCTCTACGTGGGGCTGCCTTTGAAGCTGATGCGGAACCTTCAGGTGGTACAGAATGCAGCGGCCAGACTCCTTATTGGAGTGAGAAAACACCAGCATATTTCTCCTACTCTGGCCATGCTGCACTGGCTGCCCATCCGTTTCCGCATTGACTTCAAAGTTTTAATGCTCACTTATAAGGCCCTAAACGGTTTAGGACCTCGATACTTGGCGAAACGCCTGCTCCCACCAAGATCTACCCAGATCACCCGCGTGAGTCAGGAGGTGAGGCTGAGGAGCCTAACACCAAGGGAGGCCCGGAAGGAAAAGACATGAAATTGGGCCTTCTCAGCGGTGGCTCCTCGCTTCTGGAATAACCTCCCTCCGGAGATTCACGCAGTTCTCATGCTGGGTACCTTTAAAAGTTAACTAAAAACATGGATGTACATTCAGGCCTTCCCTCCTGTCAATACTTGATTTCCCTTTATTCTCTCTTTATTTATTATCTGCTTTTAGTACTGTATCTGTTATTGATTGTCTAATGTAAAATTTCTGTGTTTTTATTGTATATATGTTACATTGGAAGCCGCCCAGAGTGGTCGTATAGACCAGATGGGCGGGATATAAATCAAATAAATAAATAAAATAGTACCTATATAGTTTGAACAACCAATCACTGAGACATCACCTGATGTATTCTCCCAGACATTACCTCATGTCCAATGCACATTTCATGGATTGCATCAGCTTCATGTGCTGACCTGTTAGCAAACTTTAGTTCATGTAATAATGAGTAAATTCTATATTGTGGATCATAATATCCTGACAATCCATCCATCCATCAGAAACCCCAACATAAGAAACAATCTTGTCTTTGGCCTCCAGCAACACATTCTTACTATTAAGGATAATTTCTAGTTCTTCATAACCTCCTTTCCAAGTCTCTGTTATCTTCTGGTATTTTTGGCTGCTGTCTCCATTTGGACTGATGATTGAACCAAGATAATAATTTTAATTTCTTCGTTGTCAGCATTGAAGTTATCTAAGTCTTTTATAGCCATTATTTTTATCTTCTTAATCTTCAGCTATAATTTTGCTTTTTCACTTTTTTCTTTAAGCTTCCTCAGTAGTTGGTTCAAGTCATTGCTCTTACCTGTTAGTAAACTGGTGGCATCAGTAGTTTTTAATTTACTGATGGTACTTTCACCAATTTTCACTCCTCCTTCATCTGAATTAAATCCAACTTTTTATACAATACATTCTGCAGATATGAAGGTAAAATATACCCTTGTTGATTACCTTTGCTTAAGATAAACCATTCTGTTTTTTCATATTCTGTCCTAACAGTAACTTCTTGTCACTAACATAAGAGGATAATCAAATGTGGCACACCCGTTTTTTTAAAATGGTCCATAGCTTTTTATAATCCATACTGTAAAACACAAATGGTTCCCCCCCCAAAAAAAAATTGATAGGCTTCTGTAATCAACATGTATTTTCAGTATAACCCCTAATGACTCTTCATTTTCTGAATCCATCTCCAGCATCTGGCATCTCTCATTCCATATATGGCAAAAAATATTTGTGGTAAGATCTTGAGCATTAGTTTGCTTGTATGGCAAATGTATGTAATGATTCTATAGTTACTGCAGTTATTGGTGTCTTCTTTCTTTTAACTGAAATGCATATTGCTTGTTGAACCTGAGGTGGCCACTTATGGCTCTCTTTCAAGTACATTTCCCATCAACCAATATCACAGTTAATGGAATGGGATGGTAAGATTTGCAGCTCAGCAAGATTTGGAAAACCACTAACTGCTCGCCCTCCCTTGAGATAATTGCATGTATTACTTCCCTTTGTGAAACACAGCAGTAAGATTCCTCTTTTCCTCACCCCTGTCACTCTGTGATGTACAACTGTTTCTATATACCTGATAGATTAGAGCAAAACTAACAAAATACTCTTTGTCAACTCTTGTAAAATAGTATGAACCTGTGCAGCCAATGCACTTCAAATTCATCCAGTTCTTAGCATCCTTATGGGCACAGCATAAAAACAGAGTTTGTTTCTGTTACCCTAATGAAGAAATAGGTCCTAGATCAAATCAAGCCTGAACTATCTCTGGAGGTAAAAATGTTGAATCTGAGGTTGTCGTACTCTGGACATACCACAAGAAAGCAGAATTCTCTGGAAAAGACAATAATGCTGGCAAAGGTTGAAGGCAGCAGGAAAAGAGTAAGACCAAATGTAAGGTGGATCATCTCCCTAAAGGAAGCTACAGGCTTGGGTTTGCAAGAACTTAGCAGGGTGTTGAGGACAGGACATTTTGGAGATCGCTCATTCATTGGGTCACCATAGGTTGGAGACGATTTGACAGCACATAACAACAATGGGGAAATAAGTATCATTTTATTATAGAAATAAATGGACCTGCCCAACAACCGCCTGCATTTACCTTTGCTGAGTCTCTAAAAATCTGTCCTGTTCTTTTGCATCTTTTTTCTCAGGTGGCTAGTAGTAAAGGATTCTTTTTTACTCTATGTGAAGCCAGACAGTGGAGCCATTTCATTTGTCCTGCTGGTGGATAAAGAATTCAGCATAAAGATTGGCAAGAAGGAGACAGAAACAAAGTATGGGCTACGCATAGACAATCTCTCCAGGTGAGAAATGTACACACATTGATTTGTGGCAGTTCCCCATATTATTTATCCCTTTTCATAAGAAGCCTCATGGTGTAGTGGTTAAATTGCAGCACTACAGCCAAAACTCTGCTCACAACCCAGGTTCAATCCCAGGTAGGTGGCTCTTGGTTCACTCAGCCTACCATCCTTCCAAGGTAGGTACATTATCCTCCCAACAACCCTATGGGATAGGTCAGAGAGAGAAGAATAGGAGAGAGACCAGCTCAAAATCACCCAGTGGGTTTTGTAGTTCAGTGGATATTAGAACCCAGATCTCCCAACCAGGAAAGGTTGCCTGAAAAGAAAGGTCTTCACTTCCTTGTGGAAGGACAGTAAAGATGGGTCCAGCCTAGCTTCCTGTGGAAGGGAATTCCAAAGTCTGGGAGCAGCAACATGGTCCTCTCCTGTGCCTCCCTACCACTTTCTGTTCTAAGGTCAGGCTACCTTGGTCATATCAAATTCAGCATCATGGAGTGCATGGTGGAAGGAGAACTCTTGATGGCTTTTTTGTGAAATGCATCTGGGACTTGTGGTGGTTTCCAGCTGCCTGTGGCCTCTTTAAAGCTTCTTCATTCTATTCCTCTCCACACTTGAATAATAATAATTGTGTGTCGTCAAGTCAGTTCTGACTTGGGGTTTTCTAAGTGTAGAGTACTCAAAAGTGGTTTATCTTTCCCTTTTTTGGCCTCTTTAAAGCTTCTTCATTCTATTCCTCTCCACACTTGAATAATAGTAATAATTGTGTGTCATCAAGTCAGTTCTAACTTGGGGTTTTCTAGGTGTAGACTACTCAAAAGTGGTTTATCTTTCCCTTTTTCTGGGGGTGCTCTGGGACCTTGCAGTTTGCCCAAGATTCTACAGGTTGATTCTTCTTTTGGAAGGCACAGGAGGAATTATGCTCTCAACCTCTGACTCCACAGCCAGATATGTGACTCACTGAGCTATCTAGCCAACTTACAGATAATAACATTTTGACTTATGACAATAGTAACTGTATTTTTAATGATTATATATATTTTATATTGATTTTTATGTTGTAAGCCGCCCTGAGTAGACATGGTCTAGAGGGGCGGGGTATAAATTTAATAAATAAATAAACAAACAAACAAACAAACAAACATTTTGACTTATGACAACCCTTTCCATTTTTTTCTAAGTATAGAATATTTGTAAGTGGTTTACCTTTCTAGGGTGCTATGAAACTGTGCAGTCTCTCCTAGGCCACATAGGTTGGCTGTTCTCTTGGGACGCACAATATTTTTTTTCTAAGTATAGAGTATTTGTAAGTGGTTTACCTTTCTGGGGCGCTCTGAGACTGTGCAGTCTCTCCTAGGCCACACAGGTTGGCTGTTCTCTTGGGACGCACAATAAAGAATCAAATTCCCAACCTCTGGCTCCATAGCCAGATACCTAACACACTGAGCAGTTAAAGTATCACATTCTTGTGTCCCAGCTCCATCATCAGAAGATGACATTTAAGCTATCTCTTTCCAGTATTTATGTTAGAACCTTCCTTGATCAGCAGATCAAAGAAGGCCCAGTTGCATTCATCTACTCATCTTCCTGTATGTTTCTGTGGACTGGGGTAAATCATGGGGATTATCTCTCAAATATTGCAGCTATGTGGCCTGATTATATTCAGAAAAATAAAAATGAAGGCATATGTCCAATCATAGTAGATTGCATTGTGATGTTTACATTGCTTTCTTTTTCCAACCTAGGTCACTTATTCTGAAATGCAACAGCTATAGGCATGCTTTGTGGTGGGGCCAAGGAATAGAAGCATTCATTCAGAAAAATGGCAAGAACTTTCTCCAGCATCATAGATTTGGCTCTTATGCTGCTGTCCAGGATAACACCTTGGTAAAGTGGTAAGAAATGATGGGGCACTGTTCAAATAGTTTGGAGATCCAGGGACAGAAAATCTGTTGAATTATCTGCTTTCTTGGCAGACAAACCTTGCCAGATCTGTGGGTTCTGAGGTTCAGGGCAATGGAGGTCTAACTCATTTCTATCTAACAGCATCATTCATGCTAAATAAATACGTATTCCTTTAAGTGTCAGAGATGGTATGTATAATTTATTCGCGAAGGATTTCATGGCCGAGATCTAATTATTGTTGTGGGTTTTTCGGGCTCTTTGGCAATGTTCTGAAGGTTGTTCTTCCTAACGTTTCGCCAGTCTCTGTGGCTGGCATCTTCAGAGGACAGGAGTCAGAACTCTGTCTGTGCTCTGGTGCAGTTTGTTTGGGAGTTGATTATTTATAGCTGTGGGATCAGCTTTTGTCCTTTTTAGGAGATGGGTGATTATGGTGATCAGTGTGTTTTTGCTATTTCATTGCTATGTATAATGCTTAGGAGCATAAGCAATGCTCTTAGTGGATCCTGGAGATAGGAAATTGGCCCCTGGAGGTTGGTCATCCCTGAGACAGGCCTTTGGCCTCATCCACCATAGTTTTTCTTAAGGTCTTAGGTTTTTAAATACTGTTTCACAACTGAAGAACAGAAACTGTAGCCAAAATACTCTTCCATAACTTACACCAGCATAGGGGAAATGATATCACCACAAGCGGCAGATTGCCACTAATTGAAAAGTTCTTGCTTCAATTTCTGACTCTGTGTGAGATGCGCACAATGAGACAAACTTTAAGCAATGCAAAGTCAAAGTGAGGACTCTTTAATTAATGACAAGCTGCTGCTGCTAGTGAGATCATTTCCCCTATGCTGGCAGGAGGATTTTGACCAGTATTTTGAAGAAATTATGACTAGAGGCCTCAGGTTGTTAATAAATAAACATGAGCAACGTAGAACGGACTTACACTTTCAACTGATTGCAAAGTTAGCTGAAAGGGACATCGTATGGGATATAAATCATCTGTGACCAAATCTCTCAAAGTTGCTGTACCATTTTCCTTTTCTCCATTCTTCCTTCCCCTCCCTCAGCTGTTGTTAATTCCCTGGGGGAGATATATTATTAATACCTTTAAAAATAATCATTTGTTATCCTAGTTTTTGGGACAAGTGCCTTTTTGTGTGTAGTCGTGAAGTTGTGTCCGACTCTTCATGACCCCATGGACCAGAGCACACCAGGCCCTCCTGTCTTCCACTGCCTCCCGGAGTTTGGTTAAATTCAAGTGCCTAACTTACGCAAATATGCACATGTACGATCCGTGTAGCAAGGTCTTGGAAATGCACACCATGACTATGGGGGTGCTATGACGGCCACCAGGAGTAGCTGCGAATTTGCCTATTCTGCATTTCAGTTGCTAATCCTGACAATAGTAAAACCACTGAAAATAGGAAGTAAGTGTGTAAATCTAAGGGATGTAATGAGTCTCCTCTAGTTGGAACTAGCAGTTGAGTTTTAAATCATACATTCCTCCAAATGGGAATCCTGTTCCTCCTTATTTGATTGACAACTTTGTCATTTGCAGAAATGGGGGGGGGATTTACTAGTTAGGTCAAGAGTTATTTGAATATCCCAGCTAGCATGTGGGCACTGACTGTGCTGGCTTAGGTGTTCTGGGGACATTGATCCACCTGGATCCTGATTTTCCCCCTATCTATGATGATTTGGGGCTGTGTGAAAGCTGCATTGAGTACATTCCCCAGACACATTAAATTCCTCTCCCCTTCCCTCCCTCTTCATTCCTCTTCTCTGTTGACTAGAAAATACAATACTCTCCTTGCTTCTAGGTATGTGAATGCAAAGGGATACTTTGAAGATGTTGCAAATGCCATGGAAGCGGCCAAAGAAGAGATTTTCATCACAGATTGGTGGTGCGTATTCAATTTCCCCCATCGTATTCCTCCTCCATCTCCTGGTACCTCTTAGAACATTTACGGACAAGGAGGCACTGTTCAGGGCCCTTTGCGGCATGGAAACTTAGCAGCAGGACCAGATGGTTTGGCAAGAGAAACAACTGTCTCAGAGACTGAGAGGGGTTGTTGTTGAGTTTTTCTTTTTCTTTCATCAAAAGGCCTTTTCAGGACACTTGGCTTGGAAAACAAAGGAGAACCAGCCCTTTAAAACACACACGTACACACAAACACACACCCAAATGACAGAAGTGGCTTCAAAACCAACTGGTCAGATTTCAGTTTGATTGTCACTTTCTTTTTTTAAAAAAATCCTTTAAAGGATTCTTCCTCACCTCCCAGCTGAATTAAAAGATCCAGCCCCCTGGGAGCCCTGGGGGAGAGAAGGAGCCTCTTTCCTGCCTGTATTTTGTTGTGGTCTTGTAACTGGTTTCTAGAAGACCACAGAGCAGAGAATGATTCAGTTAACCTTGGGAGGGATTGCAAATGGGGCTTGTGGATTTTCTTAAAATCTGCCCCTGCATCCTGCCTGTACTTTTCCGCTTCGTAATTCAAATGCAGTGGCAGACGACAAGCACGACATTTGTCAACTGGACTTTCTGTTTAGCTGGAACTGCTGTTGCATTACAAAAATTTCGCAGTGTGGCAGGAATTTGCCTCTCTCCCCTAGGGTTTGGCCAGCCTTAAGTAAGAGCCAAAGGTTTCTGTGGCCATTCCACTATGTATGCCTCAGTGTGTGGCTATCCCACTGCATTTCATCACTTGTGGTGATCCTTTGGTCTTCTCCAGTAGCTACTAAGCAACTGAGGATAACACTTTGGCTATGTTACAGGGTACCACTTTGGGCAAATATAACGTGCTTGCACACTTTTGTCCTGTTTGAGTTGTGCTGTCGGGAGGAAATATACAAGATCCAATTCTTGATGTTACCAGTGTTGAAAGCCTGTCATGGTACAGTCAGCTCTTAGCTTCAACTCAAATATTTTGTGTGTGGTAGTGGTCAGAGGTATGAAGAGTAAAAACAAAAAAGGGGGGGAGAGGTATCTGTATAATCACCTCTTAAAATATACTTTCATTGCCACTTATAGAGATAATCTTTCCACTGTGTATTCTACGGATGAGATAATTCAAGAAGTCTAGGGATGACACATGCCCATTTCTGGACCCTAGAAGGCATGTGCGTGCATGTGCACACACCCAGACACACACACAGAGAGAGAGAGAGAGAGAGCATGGAAAAGTCTTTTCATGCCCCCTGGTGGCTGCAAGGAACAATTTTGCCTTTAAATTAACATGCTGCTCCTGAGTTGTTCTAAGTGACGTCTGGTTTGGAAAAGAACCACTCACCGCCTGAAACAACCAAGAGGAGGGTAAAATGTGGCAACATTGTAATTTGCAGCCATTCAGTCTTTTCCTCCTTAAAAACAGTTCTTAAACTAAAGAAAAACAAGAAAGCAATGAGATAGGACTGGGTGGATTATGAGTGGAACACTCTGATGTCCAATATGCACATACATTTTGAGCAAATAAATAAATTAGGGGATATATGGGTGCTGATGGGTGGGTTGCAGGCCTGCATTTGGGCAACTCTTTTGGGGGGCACATATGGCTTGTGGCCAGAATTTACCTAACTCATTAATTCCTACCTAAACCCACATTATAGTATACAAGTTAAATTATATCACCGTCGTGCTAATCTCAGTTCTGTAGGGCAGAGTCTCAGTGCATGCATGTGGGGGGGGGTAAGTAATACCATTCACATTGAACCACATGAACAGGTTTAAGTCTAATTCACATACAGTATAAAAACAGGGCAGCACTTCCATATTAACTCCTTTAGACGAGGATGGCATGGTTTTCTGCATGTATTTCTCACTCCTCCAGTCGCATTTTCTCCTCCTCCACACTTGAGTGACAAGTTACTCAGTGTGCTCACTTCACAAACAATCGACTGTTGACTTGGTCCCAGATGTTGGCTGCTGCATGTACTGTAGCTTTGTTGGGAACAATGAATAGAAAGTACATTCAGAAAATAAATTATTTGAGCCCTCCCCCCCTTTTTTTGGTAATACCAAAATGGGTGTGCTGTNCCCCCCCCCCGAATGTTGGATAAGGAAGGGTTGGAGGGGTTGGTTAGCAGCACTGCCAGTCAGAACACATTCAGCCCATTCTTCCTTAAAAGCAGTTTTTGAATTACGGTAAAAGACTAAGGCAGTGGGGTGAAAGTGGGAGGATGACCAATGGAATACAATGATGTTCAACACAGAGATAGAATTCCTTGAATGAGGTAAGGGCTTTTCACAATAAAAGCCCTGTCTCAAAAGCAGGAAGAAGCCAGAGATGTGAAATGTCACTTTTGGAGGGATTGTGGGTCCCGGAATCCCATGGCTAATGTAGCTATGGGATTCTGGGAGTTGTCTGTAAAGAGCCAGAGAGCATCCAGCCTGTGTGGCCTTGGGCAAGCTGCACAGTCCCAGGAAGAAGGGAATGGTAAACCACTTCTGAGTACTCTCTGCCTAGGAAACCTTCCTTGAAGTTGGAACTGACTTAATGGCATGCAACTGTTAATTACTATAATTGAAACTCAATGAGAAAATACTGGTGTGCGCCTCACTTATACAGTCAGGGATGTGACCCAACATGCAATCGACGTGAGTCCTAGCAGCTTGTCAGTGAAGCACAATTATCTATAGCAGGTTAAACAAACACAAATAGGATTCTGGCCAACATGTTGTGATCTATTCTTATTGTAACTGGCTTGGCCCTGAGTAGAGAATTAAAAGCTATTAGCTTTACAGAAGACCTGCTCTCAGCATTGGCAAAAAATGGAACAACACATCTGGCTGTGCTTTTCATTTAGATTGGCATGTCTGTAAGAAATGCTTTGATAGATGCTAGAGAAGCCAGGAACTAAACCTGAGAACTTTTGCACCTGTCCCAACATTGTGTTCTGTTTGGCCCCTTACTATTCACTCGTATTGACTGCAGCCAGCCAGTTAAGACTTTAAAGAAGAGCTTCTGGTTGAAGTGGGGCTACTGGATTTCCTTTGGTTTTTACAGGCTGAGCCCAGAAATATTCATGAAGCGTCCTGTAGTGGAAGGCAATCGCTGGAGGCTGGACTGCATTTTGAGGAGGAAAGCAGTAAGTATGCCTTGTTTTTCAGATCATACAAAGCACCAATAGGTAAGCATTGGCCGCCATTTTGGAGCAAGTGGTGAGTAGCTCGTTTGCGGCCACCTCTTGAATTTGTGGCTAAGGTAGTATTCTTGACTTTCAGGACACCATTACTACACACGGTAGGAGCTCTTGTAAAGTTCTGTCTTATTTATTTTACACTTTATTTGTTGATTACATTTGCATCATGCCCTCCCCCAAATAAACTCAAAGTGACATCCAGGCCTCTGTTCCTCCCCGTTGTGGCAGTTTTCAGAGACAAAAGTATTTCAGTTTCTCTTGCACCTTCCTGCTGTATCTTCACATCAGCCCCATGAGAGAGGGAGACATTGACTAATTCTAGATGGCTAGTGATGACCAACAACCTGAGTATCCTGTTGTTGTCATTTTAGTAGTAGTTGTTGTCCTTCTTCTCCTCCTTCTTCTCTTCTTCTTCTATAGAATCATTATCCTCCAGTTCCCAGAGGTTAGGTTGGGTAACCACCTAAGAGATGGGGAGAATGCCTGAAAGGAGCTTGAATGCAACCTACTCCACATGAATTGACTGCCGCCATTTTGAGTCCATCCCAGCTCACTCTTTTGGTAGCCCCCGGTCTCAGCTCCATTGCTCTCCTGCTCATGTGGCAGCCCACGCAATCTCTTCCAAAGCAAAGGTTATATTGGGGGATCATTATCATTGTCACCTTAAAATTGCAGACCCGGAAGGGACCATGTGGATCATTGAGTTCCACCCCTGGCAAAGAGGCATGTGGGAAATCAATCCTGCAACTTCTCTCCAGAAGAATTGTGAAAGTATAACCAATAACAGAGGAAAGGAGAATAGCTTCCAGTAAGCCTCTCCTTGTCTGCAAAAGGCCCCACCAGAGCTCCAAACATTGCAGATTTCCAAGTGCTTGACCTGAACCTCAAAAAGCCCAACTGATTTTTGAGGCAAGCGGGAGGCAGCTTGCCTACTCCTGTTCTTTTCTTTAATTACCAATGGATTTTTTGGCCCCATATAAGTGATAGGAAATGGTGATAGTGAGGATAGTAGAAATTGACTCTTCAGAAAGATACCATCACAATGTGGGATGATTTATTATGTGTGTCTGTATTCAGAAAGGATTCTCATTACGTTGCTAATGGTAGGCATTGATCTGCTCAGAGGGAATAGAGATCTAATTAGGAGAGAACATTGTCTGGCTGTAGTCATACTTTACTGTTGCACTGCTTGGACCGTGTTATTGAGCTTCGAGTGGAAGAGCATTCTAATGGGACTTTTCCATCATCGTCCTAAAAAGCCTTTGCAAGCACAGTTTAATTGGATGCTGGAACTCCGATGGGTCCAAAGGGGTGTTTGATGTCAGGGTGCCCATAGGACAACCTGAGGGCCACAGGCAACCTGCCAGGGCCAACTGTGGGCCTCAGACCTTGATTTTTTTTAAAAAAGGCTTTAAATGCCCCCTTGCCATGTTATGTGACACAGGGGATAATTTTACCATTTCTGACACCCCCAAACATATTTGATCACGAAGCTCATTGTGTTGCCTATCACCATCTCTGAGCAAAATCTATTGTACAAAGTTGCGGCGAAAATGAAGAGAGAAGGAAGAAATCCATGTGCACCACCTTTCTTTAATTGGAGGAAAGGCAGAATATATTATTGTCAGAAACAAGAGTATAGGTACACCGGGGCAAACCACCATCTTCCTCCCTTCTAGAAGCTGTCTCTCCTCCCCCAGGGTTTCCATCACCACCTCCATGAGCAGGGCCTCAGTGTGAGGCCCAGTTGCTGGGCATGCTATCCATCCTCCAGATCTCCTGACCCTTCAGTATCCTCCTTGGGTAGCTCGGTCCGTGCTCTTGACCCTGGGTGGGAAGCCTGCTGACAGCAGTGTTCTTGCCATTGTCCTCTCCACATTCCAACTCACAGCCCAAGAGAAGCCCACACATATTAATTTGTTGTGTTCCTCTATAAAAAGCATCATCTCCCTGGAGTGAAACCATCTCTGGCAGGTACTTGATGTCACAGTAGGCTAGGAATTGTTCCCAGAAAATGAAATGTCATGTGCATTTAAACTTCTAAACAATATGTTTGATTTAATAAAACATTGACCGGGAGGCATTATGAATATGTTCTAAATGTTCTCTACTGCCCCATAAGTTGTAAATACGTTAAAATAAAGGCTGCAGTGGGAGGCATTATGAATATGTTCTACTGTAAATGTTCTCTACTGCCCCATAGGTTGTAAATACGTTAAAATAAAGGCTGCAGGAGGACAGCATGTGAACACGTTGCTATCTATTACACAATCCAGTGTTCTTGATTCTGCATGCCCATTTTTATAAAATAAAGTTCATGTGTTCCTAGCTATTAAGAATGTAGCAGAGGCAATACTTGGCGAAATTTTAGGAGCTGAATGAGTTTTGGTGGCCAGGGAAGAGAGAACTGGGTGGGATTTTGACTGTTCAGAAATATAGGGCAAAAAAGAGACCTAAGCAGCTTCAGAAGCTGAAGGTGGGGCTGGCGGCAAGGAAAGGAAACCTTCCATTAGATTAAATTAAATATTTCTAATGACTGATCCAGGATATACTGGCACATATTTATGCAACAGGCGTTTTGCCCAGTGAAACTTAACTGTATGTTACAGCTTAAAACTGTAAACAGAATCATTTGCTCCTAACATGAGAATACCATAAAGACAGAATAATACATTATGCTTTATAGGTAAGGTGGCTCTCTTCCTTACTGAACAGGAAGGTTTATTTTCCTTCTGAAGGAGAGAAAAGAAAAGGGCAGCAGGAATTTCCTTGGGGAAAACATGTCACTGCAAAACGCCACCACCGAAAAGGTCCTGCTGTGATCCCCTTATTGTGTTCAAAAAAATGTAGAACCTCTCCCAATGATATGGCCAGACTTTCAAGCTCTTCGTTTCTATAGTTTGCTTAATATAGACAACAATGTTGAGTTATTTTTATTTGTTTTATTACAGTCACAACAGGATAACCCCACAAGTAAAGACATCTATCATAAAATGGATATAAACCTACTTGCTTTGTGTTCAAGGTTTGAGAGTCAAACTAAAAAATAAGGGGAATGCCTATATGTTATGACTAACCAGTTTTCCTTGCCGTTTTCTCAGACTTATGTGCCTCTAAAATCAAATTATCAAATCCCTTGTCTACCTTGCAATAACCAATTACAAAACAAATATACTAAATGCAATATATGTAGGTGAGGAAAATTACATCCTGTGACAAGCAGACGTCTTTCGGCACCTATGCAAATAAATGTGGTAAACCCATCATTTTGTGCATCCCATGTGCCCATGTTTTGTTTCTTGACAGCAACAAGGTGTGAAAATCTTTGTGATGCTTTACAAAGAGGTGGAGCTGGCTCTTGGAATTAACAGCGAATACACAAAGCGTACCCTAATGCGTCTACATCCCAATATCAAGGTATTTGTGCTGTTTTTGGCATCTATGCTGTTGCTTTCTTTTTAGGAAAAGATAGACGTGGCTACAGTTTTTGTAGCATTGCTATTACTATCATTTCCTTGTGCCAAAATAACTTTGAAAACAACCTGCAAAGAAACAGCCTCTTGGAAAAAAAGGTCATAACTTAGCAGCAGAAGCAGACCTATCTGCAATATGTTCAAACTGATTTACCCTCAGACTCTTTGAATTTTGTGGAAAGTAATGCAGAACGTGACAGTGTCCAAAATTTAGCTGTTTTCTGTAACCCAGTGGTTCCCAACCTTGTCTTCCCAGATGTTCTTGGACTAAAACTCCCAGCGGTCTTTACCATTAGCTGTGCTAACCAGGATTTCAAGACTCCTAATCCTGTCTTTAACTCTTACAGTTAAAAATACTGTACCTAGATATATACTTCAGTCCCATTGGTGGACAGCTCAAATCCCCACTGAAAAGGTGCAATGGAGTGCTGGAATGGGGCAATTTGGGATGGGAATCATAGAATAATTAAGTTGGAAGGGATCTAAGGCCATCAAGTCCAACCCCCTGCTCAATGCAAGAATACAAATCAAAGTAGACCTGACAGAGGGTTGTCCAATTTTCTCTTGAATGCCTCCAGTGTTGGAGCGCTCACCACCTGTTGAGGCAATTGGTTCCGTTGTTGTACTACTCTTAACAGTTAATACATTTCTCCTGATATTTAGCTGAAATCTAGCTATTCCAGATCGTATTAGCTATTCCACCCAATTTTGTGTCATCTGTAAATTTGATACATTTTCTCTAAACCCCCTCATCAAAACGATTATTAAAAATGTTGAAGCATACTAAGCGCAGGACTGAGGCTTCTCATACCCACTTGTTTCCTTCCCCCCAATTTGACTGGGTGTTATACCTTTCTCATTTGCCCTACGCTTTGCCCTACAACTGTCTCCAGGCCCTTTTCTGATTGCCACATTTCAAGGAAAAGCAGTGGTGAGGGGAAGTGTTGGGAGATGGATTGAGCACCAGCCTATTGCTTTGATGCTTAAGATTTCTTGCCTTCATGAACTTCTTGGTTAGCAAAGACAGCCAAACAACCGGTCAGATATAAAACCATCTTAGCAGTTCGATTTTAAACCCATTTAAAAGGAGCCCTCACCTTATTTTGAGATAGGTTGGTTTCCTTTCATGTAGGTAATGAGGCACCCTGATCATGTCTCGTCTACTGTTTATTTGTGGGCCCACCATGAGAAACTGGTGGTGATTGACCAGTCCATCGCTTTTGTTGGAGGCATTGATTTGGCTTATGGCAGATGGGACGACAACGAGCATCGTCTAACTGATGTGGGCAGTGCAAAACGGATGACGGCAACCAAATCGGAGTCTTCAACAAATCTTTCGGTATGTATGTATGCAATCCCAGCTGTTGGTTTGGGAATTCATAAATCTGTGTATCGGAGATTCTTTCAAAAAAGTAGGCTGAATCTAGGGCATTTGTATGTACAGTGGTGCCTCACTTAACGACGATAATCCGTTCCAGGGAAATCGCCATTAAGCGAAAACATTGTAAAGCAAAATAAAAAACCCATTGAAACGCATTGAAACCCATTCAATGCGTTCCAGTGGGGTAAAAACTTGCCGTCCAGTGAAGATTCTCCATATGGCGGCCATTTTCGGTGCCTGTATAGTGAGGAATTCATCCCTAAGTACAGCGGGGAGCCATTTTAAGCACCCAGCGGCCATTTTGAAAACCCAACGATCAGCTGTTTTTGATCATTGGTTTGGGAATTCATAAATCTGTGTATTGGAGATTCTTTCAAAAGCAGGCTGAATCTAGGGAATTTGTATGCAATCTTTATTTCTCTTTGACTGACATGAACCTGTCAAGTTCACATTGAGATCTACCTTATTGGGGCCTGGGAATGATGGGCCTTGCAATTCTAAACATCTGGAGAGCACCAGGTTGGGGAAGGCTGCCATGGATATCCCAAGAACGAGAGATGCCTCTTGCTTTTTGTCTTTCTCTTAGTGTGTGTTAATACTTTCAGTGATTCACAGCTGACCATCTGAACTGTTTCCATGGAAGAACGTTATGTTTTCGTCTGATACAGAAGCACTATTTCCAGTGTTTGGCTTAAGCTTATTATTTACCCACATAGGAAACCATCTGGAAAGCTTGCACATGTGAATCAGTGGAACAGGATCTGGCAACAAACCTGCTTAAGGAGTAACAATGACAGAAGACAGGCATGGAAACACATCTGCATTGGTCTTCTGTTTCATTTGAAGCAGTTCTCTTTAGGCTGTCTTTTCAGGAGAAGAGACGGCATGGCACTTCTGAATGCAAGAAAAGGAGCCCTTTTCTTTAATACATTGGGTTTCCATAACATGAAACTTTTGATCCTTTGATCCATCCCAATGTATGAAGGTATACATATTAGCCGTGCCATATTTTTTGGCATCCAGCATTTTCCATTGGAAATTGGAAAATGTTTTTTTTTAATCACATCTATCAGAATCCCCTAGCCAGCCTACCCAGTTGCCATGGTTGGCACAAGATTTGGGGATTTTAAATCTAGAAGTTTCCCAGTTCTGATTTAGATCAGTAACCACCTGTCTCTTGTAGAAGAGGTAGCCATGTTAGTCTGTGAAAACAAAATAGAAAGTAAAAAGTAAAAAAAAAGATAAAAACATTGTGGCAGAAGTTATATATATATATATATTTAATGTGAGCTTTCGTGGACAGGTCCACTTCATCAGACATGTCTATTTTCTGTCTTAAGCCTTCAGCAGAGACAGCTGCAGCGCCAGCTGTTGGGCCTCAACCAGAGTCTGCGGTGAAACTCTCATTGCATGGAAACTTTGATGACCCTCCAGATCCTTCAAGAATGAAAGGACTAGGAAGACCCAGGAAATTTGCCAGATTCAGCCTCTATAAGCAGCTCCATCGGCACGGCCTCCACCATGCAGACAGTGTGAGCAGTCTAGACAGCGAGTCGAGTGAGTCATTTTGTAGTCATTTTGATGGGTGGCAGTTTTAGTGCAAGGGAGGAAGCAATGGATACAGCTCTGACTAACACATGGGCATGACTTGCATATTTGCCTTATACAGAGTCAGACAGCTAGTCTGTCTAGCTTAATATTATCCATATCAGAGATTGCCTGAATGTGACCCTAGCCTTTTTAGTTGGTCATCTAACTATCAGGACTTATTAAAAAAAACATACTGAAAATGGAGATATGAGCATCCAGAAGCCTCCAGGATGTAAGGTGCACCATTAAAATGAGCTGTGCCACCCATGTGTGCCTTGTGGATTTTTGAATCTGCAAATGGGCTGCTGGTTGGCTTGTGAAAAGCTTACTGTCTTGATTTCATTGTATTTCCCCAAATCCCAGCTAGGTTCTCATCCCACTCTGGTTGCAAGAGTTTTTTTTTCTTTCTGCATGGAAGTTTGTATGGATTTTCCATAGACGTTTCCTGTGATGTATGTCTTTAGTTATGCACATTTTCCAGTGCACTGATTTTTGTTCTCCACTGACTAAAGAATATGCTTATTTATCAATTATACATGGTGTTAGTAATCATATTTTAAATTAATGAATGGTTCTCTGTGTGTGACATGCATCAAGCCTCCCAAAGGAGTGGCTTTCCAAGGCAAGATGTGCCTTGTTTTGCAGTGTGTCCTGGGAAGTGTAAAACTTTGGTGAGAATCTTTAAACTATCAAAATCCTTTTTCTGTTCCTTGTCAGTTTTCACTTCTGCATTTCTGTGTGTGTTCATTTGTGCACACATGCATCTGTGTGTCCCCTGCAGAGTTGACCTTCTGTCCAAGCCAAGAAGTCCATTACTGGTGTGCTTAACAACACCTTCAAGGTTTCAGGCAGGAGGCTTTTCCTGCCTCTCTTGCAGATGCTGGGAACTAAGAATTTTCTGCATACAAAGCAGATGGGCTGCCTCTGGAGTATGGCCCTCCCTTGCCTTACTAGGGAAGGAAGGAAAATGGAATAAAAAGGAAGGGAAAAGATTATGACTCCAGTGCAGATCAATGCAGGATCTAGTTTCGCAAACCATTCTAAATGTTTTTTTTAAAAAATCTGTATGTCATTGACTGTTGGGGACAGATAAAGGCTCGATCCGCAGCTTGAAGACAGGTGTTGGAGAGCTTCTTGGTGAAACCAGGTTCTGGCATGGAAAAGATTATTGCAACTTTGTCTTCAAAGACTGGGTTCAGCTTGATAAGCCCTTTGCTGGTATGTGCCCTTGCTGCATGAAATAACTATTCTTTCCTCTAATTATGACAGTTTGCTTTCTTTTGTTTTGTGGCCTGGAGATGTGGTATGGTCTGGGGCAGAACCCCTTTTCAGGGGCAGGAACTCCTCTGTTATTGAACTCAAACCTGCAAGTTTAGAGATACAGATTTTAAAAGAGTAATAGATGGTTTAAAGCACTCTGGGTCAATGAGCTTTTTCAGGGTGTTGTTGCTTGCTGTTGTCTTTTCACAGCCTTCTTCCAGCTCCACACAATGGAATAGGAAGCAATAACTTCCTGACATGTGAATGAGCCGTGGACATTGTTGTCTTCACATGCTCACCTCTCTCCCTCTTCTGTGTCTGTATGCCAAGGAAGAAGAACAGAAACTTAAACAATTCATAGTTTCCTAAAATGTCTAAATTTGGAAAACTATGATTAGTTTCTACTCTGGTCAGTCATATTACTGAAACAGACATCTTTTTTTTTAATTTTTAAATTTTCATTATAGTACAAAATAAACCTACTACACAAAAACTGAAACAGACATCTACGTTAGCTTGGGCATGTTGTGAGAATGGCTGATGGTTGGATTCCAAAAAGCTCCTGTATGGAGAATTACTGCAGGGAAAGCGCCCGAGAGGGAGATCACAGCTGCGATACAAGGATATCTGCAAGAGGGATCTGAAGGCTTTAGGAATGGATGTCAACAGATGAGAAACATTGACATCTGAGCATTCAGTCTAGAGGCAAGCGGTGTAGCATGGCCTCTCACAATTTGAAGAGACCCTTGTCCAGCGGGCCGAGACAAAGAGGCAGTCCCAAAAGCAGCAAAATCAGAGAGCTGGACAGGGGACAGATTGTATTTGTCTTCCGTGTGGAAGGGATTGTCACTCTCAAATTGGCCTTCTCAGCCATATTAGATGCTGTTCCAAGACCTATTCAGAGCATGTTGCCATAGTCTCTCGAGACTGAAGGATACCTACATGAGTCAGTCACAACAAACAGGATCAAGCCATGGCTTCACTGCTGATCTAAATCATTTTTCTTGACCAAAGGTGGAGCACAAATAGTCTCCCTTCTCCTGCCACAGGCTAAGGGTGTTTTAAAATGTTTTGCTACAACGTTGAGACACTGACAACTGTCTTCAACTTTTCTCCACACGTAGTGCAGCCCGAAATAAGTCACTTCACCTTGTTGCCTAACAGGGCCATTCCCAAGACTTTTCAGTCCTGGTTTGTTCGTTAGTCAGCAAATTTTTGTTTAAAAGGCTTTCATTGTTCAATTGCCTTTCCTTATTCATATAACTCTAGGGGTATCAAGACAATCCCAACATGGCAACATCCTGTTCTGCTTGTTACCCATGCATGTTTTCTCACCTTTTCTGTCCTTTTCTTACTATAAATTTAAAAAATAGGAGTGCTTCGGAGTAAAAGGCAGACTGTATGCAAAATATAATATTGTTAGTAGAAGAATGGATCTTTCTAGAAGGTTGAACCATCCCATCCCCTCAGGTGGGATATTACCACAAACTGTGGTTTGTTTTAGATTGAAAGCAGAAACTGGCAAGGTCCTTGAAGGTGCAAAAAAGGAAAAGACAGAACGCTAGGGCTTATTAAGAGTGAATGAATTTGTTGTCTCCTGCTCCATGGGAAATGTGCCTGTCATTCAAGGAAACCTTCCATTATGAGAAAATGAGTTTGGGACATAACAATACCTGCTGGATCAGGAGAAAGGCCTATTTAGTTCGGCCCCTGTTTCCCTTAGCGAACAAGTTTGTCTCTCTGAAGTATGTCTGTGGAAGAGCAGATATTCCTCTTTTAAATAATGCCTGATTTCTGTTCTGCTTACATAGATTTCATTGTGTTGGCAAAATTAAACAGAAATAAAAAAGGTGAGGAGAGAAAATAAGAAAAAAACAACAACCCAAGTATGAAATATTGAGACTCTTCAAAGAATAACAAACTTGTTTCAATAGAAGCTTTCATGCATCAAAATCCATTTCTTCAGACACATGGGATACTCACACTACAGTATGCATTGATACATATCCCCATGAGGGGTCATGATCCGGTGAAAGGTGCAGGCAATAGACAAAGTCACAATGCATTGTTGACACAGGAATGGAATATGGAGATGTTAAACACAGTACTTGGAGCCTTATGGCACAATGGTTAAACTGCAGTACTGCAGTCAAGACTTTGCTCATGACCTGAGTTTGATCCGGATAAGCTCAGATAGCCAGCTTGACTCAGCCTTCCATCCTGTTGTTGAACTCAGTACCCAGCTCACTGGAAGGACCAATGTGTCGCCTCTATAATTAAGTAATAAACGTCCCAGAGACTGCTTTAAAATATGTGGAGTGGTATATAAGCAGCACACTTCATTTTACGAAAAATTGCCGGCCATAGGCAGGCTGATAAACTGTATGTCTGGTAAATTTGCCTGTCACAGAAATGCTGAGAGGTCTGAGTATGTGTAGGAAGGCCACCATTTTATAGGCGTATGATGTTACAGACAGTTGGGTTATTGGTATATGTACTAAGAAGTACACAAGATGCATTAATAGCCCAATTGTGTATTAAAAACTGTGGTTCTTATGTAGCACTTTATCCCTATAAAATATAAAAACTCTGACCTAGCATTCCTGTGACAGCCAAATCTACTTAACATACAGCTAATCATCCTGCCTGTGGGCCACAGTTTTAAGTAACTAACATTTTGATAGTCCCATTCCTGGGTCAACAATGCATTGTGACTTTGTTTATGATCTATTCTATGCATTCACCTGGTCATGGGGACATATATAAATACAGAGGACATAGTATTAGTCTTCTGTGGCTGAAATCCTGTTGCTTTGTTATGCAAAATGTTTAACGTGGAGCCAGTCATTCCTATCTGCTCACCTGCTGGGAGTCGCAGGGGCATCTCTGCTGGCTTTGTGCATCCTTGAGAATCCCAGCAGGGACTCTTTAATTGCAGGTTAGGAATAACTGAATGTTACACCTTATTGTATAACAAAATAACAGGATTTCAGGCCATGTATCTGAAGAAGTGACTTCTGATCCATTAAAGCTCATGTTTTCCCCTTTCATTTGGCCAACATGCTGAGACAGACTAACACGCCTACTTCTTCGGAAACAGATTTCATTGATCGCTACACTATGCCAAGGATGCCATGGCATGACATTGCCTCGGTTGTGCATGGTAAAGCAGCTCGGGATGTGGCTCGACACTTCATTCAGCGCTGGAATTTCACAAAGGTAGGGACTCTGCCTCCCCTTTTTTAAACTCTCAGTGAAGTGACCCAGCGTGTAGTCTGAAATGCTGCTCGGCCACCTTACTGTGCTCCATTTGTAAATGAGGGTTGAGTGTCTGCACATGAACTGTTCTTGTCATCTTGCCTGTAAATCACAGTAAACCTGAAAATAAGTGGGCAATTTGTGAAATTATTGATGGATCATTAGGAATTCCAGCTGGCTTCTTCTCCCAGGTTGTCAAGCACAGTAAGCACTTAAATACATATTGGCTGCATGTGCATAATACAGATCTATGCAGAATTTAGTTAAAGAAACATCACTTAAAATGTTGTAATCAGCAAGTTGATCTGAAAATGAAAATCTCTCCTGTGTTTAGAATTTGACAAATATCCCAGCCCTGAAACTAAAACTGTAACTGTGTGGGGCATCTCAAAAGCAGTTCAGAAAGAAATGTTCTAATCATAGAATTAAGTCCCAGTGTGTTCAGTGGAGCTTATATCCAAGAAAATATGCATAAGATTTCAACTTGAGAGTGAGATTAAAGCCTTCTAAGTAATTCTGATTTTATTTTTAAGATCATGAAGCCAAAATACAGGTCCCTTTCCTATCCTTTCCTATTGCCAAAATCTCAACGAACAGCAGATGAATTGAAGTACCAAGTCCCAGAATCTCTGTGTGCCCGTGTGCAGGTAAGATTGGTATTTGAGGTACAGAATTTATAACTGCCCCACTGCTATGAAGTTAGTTCCTGGACTTCTTCCAAGAGAAGCCTCATAAAATTCCCCTTAAAGGAAACCACTATAAATTGCTAGATCAAATGTCATTTCCTTTTAATAGATGGCACTAAATCCTAGACATATCGAGATAAGCTGTGAAAGATACTGTCTTTCTAGCTACCCATTTCCAAAACCAAACCTTGAATAATAACCTAGAGTGTGTTGGCTTCCATTTTTTAAAAAAGTAGGGTTTTTTTAAATGTAAGTGGAATTTATTTTCTAGTAAATAGGTATAGGTTTCCAGCCTAATTATTTGTCCTTATGAAAGTATAGAGAATACTAAATATTACCGTAGATGTGTTTTTTGAGTGACAGAAGTTTGTAGGGAGAGTTGTTCCTCAAAAGTGGAGAAATGGTAGGAGAGTAGGACAGAGAGGACCACCTGTGGCTTGTTAAACCCTGAGTCCTCCTTGGAGTACTGCTGATTCTCCCAGTCAAGATGTGGCAAGTATGTAAATGAGTCTTGGGTAATCCCATGAAAACATCCCAGCAAGAAGTGTAACACTTAGCAAGTCAGAATAAAGCATTAATGTTTCGGCGTTTTTTTTGCTGGCCATGTTAATCACAATGATGTCTTCAGACTCTTAATTTGTAATGTTAAGAACCAGAAATTCACACACACAAAAACCCACCCTCTTCACCATGCTCTCATGGGGAAAGTAAACGTAACGCAAAATTGTCTGAAAATTGCAAACTGCTAAAGGCATTTCAGGAAACCACAAGCTACTCCCAAACATTTTGTGGACTGGATTTGTCTAGGAAATTATCCCTTGCAAATTTCATTTGTTCCATCAGTAAATGGTCTGTTGGCAGTAAAGCTTTCTGAAAACTGCCAACCAAGGCTATTTCCAAGCTGAAACTACTGTACTGGTCTCCTTCCCTGATTTCCAGTAGCCTAAAATACCTTTAAACCCAGAAGTAAGTAGGACGTATCATTTTAGATTCATGTGAATGGGAGAATGTTCTGTTGGAGAGACTGTTGGCAGGGTGGCTTTTTAAATGTGGTCATCAAAAGTCTGATGACTTTGTATGGATGGGGTGAAATAAGGCACTGCACAGCAGTGTAAATCCAGAAAGCCTGTCTTGATGCTTAATGGACCAAATTACTCAGACTGGGGAGCTGGCTTAGAAAGCATGGTTTTCTAGGCCTTGGTGTGTCTCCATTGACCTATATGGTCAGCTGGCTGAATTCAGTTCAGTTCTGCTGACAATTTAAAGCCTTGATTTAATACACCATCATCTTGTTGCCTGATACAGTTTTATTCCTGGTCAAGGGAGTTCCTTAGTTGTTGATGTTGCGTAGCATATCAGAACACTGCACAGCCTATTTGGTCAGAGAGAATACTGAGATAGAAGATACGTTTCAGAAAATTTCTATTAATAAGATTGCATATGAAATGTTATCTCTCATCTTTGATAGCAAGGGTAATTAGGCCTAAAACTATATCTGAACTGTACCATTTCAATGATATGAATACATGTTCCTCCATTAAAAATCCCTGCACATAGAAAGTTAGATCGATTTGCTTTCTGTGTATTGGGATTTGTTTTCCCTTTTTGTGTGGACGTGCATTCAGGCATGTACATTTTCCCCATCTGCAGTCCAGATACAGATGTACCACTTCAGTGAGAACTAGACTTTTGCTTAGTGGTTCCCAAGTTTGAATCATCAAGTGTTGTTTGACTTCAGTCCCCCAAAACTCCCACTGCTATGCTTGCTAGGATTTCTGGGAACTGAAATCTAACATCTGGGAAGCCAAGATTGAAAACTACTGCCTAAGTGCTTTTTATCCAATGATCTTGAAGATTCAGCTATGAAAATGTGTTCTTGTAAGGTGAAAGAACTGCTCAGTGATGAGACTTGGAAGAAGTTTCAAGCTGAGGACTGTGTATGGATTGATTGCATCTCCCTGGGATGTCTTGAGGTCTAAAACCATCCATCGTCTCTGACCTTTATTATCTGATGGCGGGTGCTTTCATCAGATGAATTTCCCAGCTAGACAAAATTTATTTCTGAGTAAGCAAACCTCGCTTCAGCCGAATGGTGCTTATCACCCATCACACAGAAAATGAAAACAATTTGTAGAATCTTTGCTGGAAGTATAGAGTATTTCTTTTCAAGTTATTGATGGCCCTAGCTGCTAATACCCAGGAAGGAAAATGTTGCTAGTCCAGGTAGTCACTGCTTGAATACAATTGAAGCTGAAATGGCTCAATTTAGATTTATGTTTCACTGGTTGATATGGGGAGTGGTGAACTTCCAGGCTTTAAGGTTGCACTGAGCAAGAATACTTGTTTGAGTGGTTTATGGTGCTCAAAGATTTCTTAACCCTTCCTTATCGAGAAAGTCAATGACTGGAAGTAAAACAATTTTTTAAATTTTAATGTGTATTATTTTCTTTCACAATGGAAGCATCCATCAAGGTCAGGCGGTTGTGGCATCTGATTTCACACCATTATATTCAACTGCAGACTTAGCCTTAGAGGTGGAAAATACTCTAACACCAGTAAAGTAGGCTTCCTAGATGCTCTTAACCAACCTCACAATCATCTCAGGAATGCAGGCCAGCAGAGGCTTTCCTAGAGGCTACTGATCTTTATCCTGGTGGACCAATTCAACACGCACACTCCATATTTCAGTGATGAAGGTTACCCGAAAGATAACATTCTGAATTCTTGATCCCAACTAGAAGTGGAACATTATGGGAAGCAGGGATATTCTGGATTTTATTTTATTTTATTTTGAGAACAGGAGTCAATGGTGATGGGAATATTTAAGGATTCTCGGGTCTTGATAAATGTTTTATTATTTGCTTTTTGAAATTAATTCTTTCACTGGTGGCTGCAACGCACAAAGCACAGATCTTTCTGGAAAGCCCTCCTGGTTTAGCCGGTCTGCAGGTCCCGGCAGTCCTAACTAATATAGCCAATGATAGAGGAAGGTGGGTGTTGCAGTCCAACAACATCTGGGAATGTGTATTTGAGTGAACTTGCTTAAACAACATCTTGGCAGATCATCACAATGAGCACACTAAGGTTTCCAGGACTTTGAGTTGGGCAGGGATGTTGGGGCGGGGCTTACATGCATGCTTCCATCACTGCCACCCTTTGAACACTGCAAGCTTTCAGGCTGAATGCCTGTAGAGAGATAATGACAAGAATAAGGAATGCATCACTCTCTTGATGTTCAGCAGACAGATCTACATATGTAGTGAACCGGCAGAGATCTGCAGGTCTTCTAGATGAGGAAAAGATGTAGAGGCAGGGCTTAACCATGTCCTCATCACACTTTGAGCCCTACACACATTCATCCTGAATACCTCAGTAAGGCTATGGACAGCATAAACGAAATGAAAGCCTGATTCAGTGTTGTGGCATTTTCTGCATTCGTCCCTGGAAAAGTTTCCGTCTCTCATTTGTGCAATATAACAGGCACCTACCCTGCAGGGTTGCTTCCTATGAGTCTAAAACAACTAGAAATTCTTCTGTATCTTTAAATATAGTAAGAATAATAATGGCCAGAATCTTATTTCTGATGTATGTCTGCATAAGGGAAATCACATAACACTTAGTGGCAAATTGCTATTTACAACTGAGATGCTGGTTGCTGTCCTGCACACATGTCTCATGGTGTGATCAGCCACTTGCCAGGGAACAAAACCCATGCCTTGTTAATGCATGGCACTTTGGCACCAAAGCTTATGTTATTTCCCTTTTGCAAGGATAAATAGGCAGTAGTATTTCTAGCCGATGACTTTTTAAAAACAACTCAATGAGACAGGACTGAGCAGAATGTGACTGAATGTATTTTGGTTTGTGCAATGAGACAGAACAATGACAAATGTGTCTCGTACATGAACATTGTAAAACAGCTTTGTTTTCAAGCGAACATTTCTGTTTTTAGGTGCTGCGCTCTGCTGCTGATTGGTCGGCTGGCATCAAATATCACGAAGAGTCCATCCATGCTGCATACGTCAGTGTGATAGAAAACAGCAAGCACTACATATATATAGAGGCAAGTAGTACTACCAGTGAGGGACATGGTGGCACTGCAGGTTAAACTGCAGAAGCCTCTGTGCTACAAGGTCAGAAGACCAGCAGTCATAAGATCGAATCCACACGATGGAGTGAGCTACCCTTGCTTGTCCCAGCTCCTGCAAACCTAGCACTTCGAAAGCATGCAACTGCAAGTAGATAAATAAGTACTATCATGGTGGGAATGTCTAGTCATGCTGGCCACATGACCACAGAAACTGTCTATGGACAAAACGCTGGCTTTATGGCTTGGAAATGGGGATGAGCACTGCCCCCTAGAGTTGGACACAACTGGACTACATGTCAAGGGGAACCTTTACCTTTTACTGCTACCAGTATCTGCGTGGGTATGTGGTCAGCATGGATGGAGAAAGTAGCAGGAGATCAGGGCTGCATTTTGAAAATAACAAAGGTCTTGTGACACCTTAAAAACTGGGCAGTTATATCAGGTGTAATCTTTATTGAAATCCAGCTCACTTAATCAGATGAGGGGTGTGTGCACAGACCATGAGAGTGTATGGCAGATAAAACTTTTGGATCTTTACAATTTCAAAGGATCACTTTTTTGGTTCTACTGCAACAGATTTAACATAGCTCTATTCCTGGGAGTTTTAAAAAGAAATAGTGTTTGCACTAATTTCTATTCAAAAAATGCAATCCCATAAACTAGGTTAGCTGGCGGGGTATGTGTGTGTATCAAAATCTATAATAAATGTGCCCTATAGTAATGCTGCTCTGCTGCTGTTGAATGCTAGTATGGCAGAATTGCAGCAGCAATTTGCTTGCAATCATGTCCAAGAGGAGCTGCACCTTTGATATAGCATTTGGGTGAAGAAAAGTCAGCACCCTTGTTTCTTTCCACTGAATCACAAACTGAGATACGGATAGGTCATTTTTGAAACTAGCTTCACCCCGTTAAGAGAAGCCATGTGTTTGCCAAACCTCTCCTCTTTAGCAAACATGGCCACCTAATGTAAAGAAATGTAATGTAAAAACTGTAAAAATGATAAAATGTTAAAAACCAGGATTTCTTCATATGAAGAGCCTAATGCATTTTGGTCAGTGCATTGGTCAATAAGCTTGTTCAAGGGGCTGTTCAATAGGAGAGAAGGACAATGCAATGGTTACAGATAATAATAACAGTTGCATTAAATACCAAAATAAAAACATTTAAACCATATCCATATTCATAGTTGTGAATCTTTTATTATCTTATATATATAAGATAATAGCACCTGTGGGGATCTTTGACAATTCATTTCCAAATTTTACTAAGTGGAAACCATTGACAGGTAGATGATCTGTATGTTTCTCTCTGATTCTATCTTCTTTTGCTCTGAAAGTAGCAAGATGTTTCAGGGTCGTAGTGAATCATCTCAAAGCACAGTGAGAAGACCTAAAGGATAGATATAAATTGTAGGAGCTCTTGAGAAGAGACTCCAATTCATCATCCAAGGCTTGGAAAGCCAGGGAACTGAGTCTTTGTAGCCATCTATTCAGTTATTAGTCCCAACTAAACTTGAATTAGTGAGACTTGTTATGTCAGCATTCTGGGACCTCACATTGATTCATTGGGTCTTTCACGGAGATTTAGCCCATAAATCAGCCATGTGCTGCTCTTTAACAGCATAGTACGATCTGCCCTCTTCATAGTCCTGTCTCACTCTATGGATGCTAAGCTTCAGAGAATTTTGTGCTATGTGGCCTATTCAAGGTATCACCACAAATAGGTCCCAACTTCTCAGTTTGCACATCAAATGCTCATTTCCACAAGGCCACTAGAATTGGACATGTCTAGCACAAAGGAATAGGACACTACCAACATCTATCATACAGTGCACTTATCTTGCAATCTCAAATTTGCAATTGCAAGATAGAGTGCTGGCTGCTAGCCTGGATAGCTTAAAAAAGCCATTAGATGCATCATGGTGGACAAAGTGATCAATAGATATTAGCTGTGATGGCTATGTGATAACTTCAGCATTAGTGGCATTCTTTCTCTCAATACTAGTTGTTGGGAACACAAGAGAGTAGGTGCTGCTGCATTCATGTGGTATTGCTGACGTCTTACAGGCAACCAGTTGGACGGACAGAGATTTGATTTGCGCGAGGGAGAAGAATTGGTAAAGAAGGGTAGAGACTTTTCTCTGGAGCCTCCTTCCCACCCACTCTACCTTGTGTTGACTGAACACGCAGAAGGAGATTGGGATCAATCTCCTTCTGATTCAGCTACAGGTGAAATGTACACAATGTGCATAGGGTCTGTAGTTGGAAGGTTGAGACCCTTGATTGCACCAAAGCCACCCACTGCAGATAGACCCTTGGTACATGAAGTTTAATGCACATGCAGTCTGTTTTGTCCACTTCAAGCCAGTGGCAGCGGTCCCACACCACAAAGGCGGTCAGAACATGGAAGAGGGGAGAATGGAGCTTCACACAGCAACCTGATGGTGTTCATTGTGACAGAGAAGAGGAAGGCATAGAAGCCAGTGACAGACAGGGTAGAAGCCAGCATTAGTATGCAAATGAAAGACTAGGAGACAGCCTGAGCTGGAGGTGAAGAAATGCTTTATTTGCCCTAAGTGACTGTCCTCTAGAGCAGTGGTCCCCAACCTTAGGCCTCCAGATGTTCTTGGACTACAACTCCCAGAAGCCTTCACCACTACCTCTGCTGGCCAGGATTTCTGGGAGCTGAAGTTCAAGAACATCTGGAGGCCCAAGGTTGGGGACCACTGCTCTAAAGGACAGTCACTTAGGGCAAATAAAGCATTTCTTCACCTCCAGCTCAGGCTGTCTCCTAGTCTTTCATTTGCATACTAATGCTGGCTTCTACCCTGTCTGTCACTGGCTTCTATGCCTTCCTCTTCTCTGTCACAATGAACACCATCAGGTTGCTGTGTGAAGCTCCATTCTCCCCTCTTCCATGTTCTGACCGCCTTTGTGGTGTGGGACCAATTCAAGAATATAACAGGGAGTGATCTTGGAGGAGGGAGTCACATTGACATCCCTTAGGTGATAAATCCAGGGTAAAGGTGGACAAACTTTGAGGATCCAGGGGATAATCCCTGCTGCAGAACTGCCAGGAGTCCCACAAAAAATGTGAATTTTTATTTTCTGCATTTTTTTTTCAAAACTGCAATAATCCAGCTGTTCAGTTGCAGTTTTGGGGGGAAAATTGTGGAACGGGGTGGTATGCATGTGTGCCTTGCTTTGGAGGAGAATTAATATTTCTGAAAGTATTTTTTCCCCAGCTGGGTGCCTACAATCACAGGCTTAGAAGCTGAATGTGGCCCATGGGACATGTGATTCCTATCTCTGTTCCGGAGACTGAGTTTATTACTTGAACCACCTGTTATCCAGCAGTCCTATGTCATCTATATTAGTGGTTCCCCAACCTTGGGCCTCCAGATGTCCTTGGACTTCAACTCCCAGAAATCCTGGCCAACAGAGGTGGTGGTGAAGGCTTCTGGGAGTTGTAGTTCAAGAACATCTGGAGGCCCAAGGTTGGGGACCGCTGATAGTTTTAAAAAAACACCTATCAAATGTTGTCATTGCTCCACACAAACGGAGAACATCTTGACTGTGCCCAGTGCTATTTTAAGATCAAGTGCTTTTGGAAAAGTCTGACAACAGTAAAAATTACAGATCTTGTAAAAGTACCATGTTGGCTGGGGGATTTGGGGAGTTGTAGGCCAGTGAAGTGACATTTCTAAACTCTTAGTGATTTTTGCAATTTTGGTTAAGGAAAGCTTGTCTATTCCTGCTGATCTCCTCATGATGACGCATCAGGTAAGATGCCAGAATATCTTGAGGCTTCTATTTGGAAAACTGTGGCCTTAAGAAGATATCATGTGCAGAAGTCATACATTTTAATTAATAAGATGAATGTTATCAGCTCATTTCTCTTCTCCTTCCTCACACTGTAGAACCAGTTCTTTATTAGCTGCGCCCATGACAAGGTTGTATCTAATAGGATTGGCGATGCCATCGCACACCGTATTCTCAAAGCCCACAGGTAATCTTGCACAAAAATTCAATCAGAGTGTCCTGCATGCCATAGAAAAATATTGCTTGTAATTAGTGAGGTGAAGACAGCTGTGGAAAATTGGATTAATGGAGAAGGGGATTTGAAAAAAAATTGGTGGGGTGGGTTTGTCATTAAAGAGGAGATGGGCAGCATTCTACTAAAACAAAACCCACAAGCCTAGGGTCATTTCAAGACAAAAAAGATATGGCCTTCCTGTTCGCCAGTGCAATGGGTAGGAGGGCATTTGGCAAAGATGTGTTTTTATTGTGTGTAGGTTCAACCACTACCACCGAACCCAGCTGAATTTTAAATGTAGGCTGCAGGGGTTTCTTCCCCCTCCCATTAAAATTATGTAACCAAGGAGATGACACATTTCTGAGAGAGTATGTGTCTCTCTCTCTGTGTAGTCATCTCAAAGATATTCAAACAATGTGATAATCGTGCCCATTGTCTGGTGTATATTTGTAATAAGGTACCAAAATTACCAGATGAAGCCTGAGTTTGTACAGAAGGCAGAATGCGGCCAATGAAATATTCATTCCAAATATTCCATCGCACCTGACTGCTTCGGGGAACAGCTTGATATTCTGCCGATTGTCCTCCTGGGGCTCCTGCTTTTAAGTGCCTGAGGACGTCTGGGCATTTTTTTGTAATTTTTATTTATTTATTTATTTATTTTGCATTTCTGTTTGTTTAATAATTCAAGCCATGGGAGTGGTGTGCTGGTGACTCCTGCATGGAAAGTGGCTGTCTTTTGAGCAAGAAGAATGAAAGCTCTCGGCGCATTGGGGAATTCTGTGAAGTCAATAACAGTTGACAGCACTCATGGAAACCTGGAGCACTCAGTAAATATACAAAACTGGATTTTCCATATAAGCACAAGGTTGCTGGGAGAAGTGATTTCGTGTGTGTGTGTGTATGTGTGTGTGTGTGTTTCCAAAAGGCAGGCTTGTATTTCAAGTAATGAAGTCAATAACAGTTGACAGCACTCATGGAAACCTGGAGCACTCAGTAAATATACAAAACTGGATTTTCCATATAAGCACAAGGTTGCTGGAGATGCACTGAATTTAAGGGAAAAGAAAAATGGTGTGTGATCCTTGTACACCATCCAAAGACAAAGTTATATCTTACCTTTGTTTTACACAGCTCATTTGGAGTGGGCTGGTGCAGGCTAAATAGGGTCACTTAAGGCCGGGTAGGGACGTGGTGGCGCTGCGGGTTAAACCGCAGAAGCCTCTGTGCTGCAAGGTCAGCAGGCCAACAGTCATAAGATCGAATCCATGTGACGGAGTGAGCTCCCGTCGCTTGTCCCAGCTCCCGCCAACCCAGCGGTTTGAAAGTATGCAAATGCGAGTAGATAAATAGGGACCACCTCGGTGGGAAGGTAACAGCGTTCCATGTCTTAAGTCACACTGGCCATGTGACCACGGAAGATTGTCTTTGGACAAACGCTGGCTCTATGGCTTGGAAACGGGAATGAGCCACCTAGAGTTGGACATGACTAGACAAAAATTGTCAAGGGAAACCTTTACCTTTACCTAAGGTTGGGTAGAGATCCCATGTGCCATGTTGGTGAGATCTTTGCACCTGCATTGCATGGTGACCCTATTTTGGACTATACCTCCTAAAACTATTAAGAAAAGAAACACTTTTAAAAAAGCCAAATTAAAAACGTCCTTTATCTGCTCTGTGGAGCAGAGGAAGGAAGCATTTTTTTAAAAAAAGCCGATTAGGGTAGTGCTGATGTGCTGTACCATTTAAAGAAAAATAAAAAGAACAAAAAGGCTTCCTCCCAGAAGCGGAAAGATATAGGAGGGTTTTTTAATTCTTCTTTTCTTCACAGCCCAACCAACTTGCTTTGTCTTGTCCCTGGCAAAGCAAGTTGGTTCCTCAGGATGAAAGAATTATGCCCGAAACCCCAGGCAGCCCCTTCTGGTCAATGTTGACAAAACTGAACTGAACCAGATCGATCAATGGTGTGAGTCAATAAAATGCAGCGTCTTATGTTTCTTAAAACATCCCATTGTGTCTGGTCAAATACCCTGCACTTTGCGGGGTATTGTTTTGTTCTAAAACTGATATTAGGGAAGCAGGGCAGAACCAAGCTAGGCAGTGCTGGGTGGTCAAGAATGAAAGCTCCAATATCTTCATGCGCCTACAGTTCCCTTACTTCTACTTCTGTGTTTCTTACTCCTGGATTAAAGCCGCTTAGATTGTTTTTGAGTTCTTGTTAGCAGAACAAATTATGTAAATGTGTATGCATTTGCATAATTCTAATTGCAGGTCTTTGGTTTCCATGGTGCAGAATGTAGCTTTGAAATACACACGCACACACATGCACCAACTGCAACCACCCAGGGAATATATATTTCTCTTAGTATAATTATGATTCTCTTGTGCAGTCATTGTAGCGGATTTGCGTTCCTTTCAAACCAGAGCCATTCCCAGCCTCCAAAGCCATTTCCTGCAGCTTGACTATTAATGACACCTGTAGCCGGATTTACATAGCCTGAATCCCATGAGCAGATTAGAGCACCTGGTCTGTATTCAGTAGCAGAGAATAACATCAGACTGTGAGATTTTTGCTTATTTTTCATGAATCACATTCCTCATAATGAGCAAATTGCTCATTCTGATGATGGGAAGGGAGAAGCATTTAATGTTCCCCAGCATGCTATCAGCACCATAGACTATTGTGCATCCCATTGAGTCTTTCTGGGCTATAAAAAAAGGTAACATTAACTGTCACTTAATTTTCCATTTACAAATTACATTGTCATAGTCTTGTTTCTGTTTGTTTGTTTATGCAGCTAGCATTCACTGAGGGGGATCATTATCTGGATCACTGCAAATGCAGAAGGCCAGTGCAAGGCTTACTCCCAGAGCAGATATTTTCTTAATTGTGGAACAGAGATGCATTCTATCAGCCCAGCTTTTAAATTTTCATGAAAGTTCTTCAATAAAACATGCAATTTCACGTTTGATTGGGCTTTGAACAGTGGATTGATCACCAGATAACAGGGATTGGGGGCAGAAGCAAGGATAAAGGAATTTTGCCCCTCATGTTTTGGCTTGTATCTCCCATCTGTCCCATTGGGCATGGGCCGGAAATAAGGGGTTGCAGCACCTATAGTCCAAAACATCTGGAAGCCAAAGATTCCCATTAGGATCCATGTCCTAATGCATAGTAATGTTTCCAAGTCTGGTGATGAATTGTTTCCATTCAGTGACATTGCAGGATGTCAGCTGTGTGTAGAATTCAGCTCATTGACACTAGAGAGAAGAGATGCCATCTGCTCTTGGTGACTCTGGATTCTTAAGGGAAGTATGGTTTCACCCTTTCTCCCAGGGCCCTTGCCACGTGTAGCATGTAGTTAGTCCCACATAATTTAATGGGAGTTGCTGCAGCTAGAGCCATTACTACCCCTTTCATCTTTATAGACTGCCTTGGGTTCCTGATCATGCTATCATGGCAGAGATAACAGAGAAGCACTTGCATCATCCATGTGGCTAGAGAGGGGTGAATTGGAGGAACTGCAGGTGAAAATGGAAGAAGGCTGACAGAAGAAGATGAAGCCATGTTTAACCTATTCCAGGCCCACAAGATTACAGCAAGCAAAGTCAAGGCAGAGGCTACCCTTGACTCCCTGCCTAGCTCTCATAGAGAGAGCAGATGTAAAGTATGACTTTTCAGAATGCTAGGTGGTCTTTGCTGTTTGAAGCTTTGTCTCCTTTCTGGACAACTAAAGGATCAGGTTATCTCAGAAGGGAGTGATGGCTAACTGAGGCATCGTATCCATTAACAAGACTGTTGATGGGGGAAGCTCCACCCTCTAAAGAGCAACTGTTGTTTGTGACATTAAAACATGAATGACTTGCATCAATATTTTAACCTTAATGGAACTGATGAACAGGCCTATATGCTCTTCTTTGTTCCGTAGGCAATGCCAGTATATATATAAAATTAATAAGCTGTCGCCATCCCTTCTTCACACGGACAGATTTTCCAATTATTTTTGTGTGTTTTCAGAACAAGCTGTGCTGCTTTTAATGAAAATAGGTTCATCATAAGTGATTGTTTTTTTAATTATTTTTGGCAAGTAGGAGTAATTAGTATTCTCCCATACTGCCTGCCCTGCCTCCTACAGATGGCACCTTTAATTTAAAGTGAAACAGGTGCATACATATGACTACAGCAATGGAAAGCCTGTTTCAACTGCATGTAGATGAAGCACTTCATGCTTTTGTATAAATAAGGCTGTGTGTCTACATTATTTTCTTGCAGTACTATTTTTAGGAAAAAGCTCATGTAACATAGATACTGTACCAACTCTTCTTTTTTTCTGCTGCCCTCAAATACCTCTCAGGAACCCCTTTTCTCTTACTTTCTCTTGTTTTTTCTACCACCGCCCCCCCTTCAATCTGCTATCCCTTCTCTCCCTGCCTAGCTCTTTGTCTATATTTAGCGACCTGCTAGGAGAGGGGCTGTCGGATGTCTGAACTGATGAGTTGCTGACAGATCTTGAAATCAAGTCATCGAGGCTCATAAAGCTTGAGACCTGGGGTTTCTAAGGTTCCGTGTTAACTATGACTTTGAATGCATGAAAACTATTTTTCCATATAGTCTGATAAACAGATATACTTGGTACTTAGTAAAGCTAACATGGGTACGTCGCTGATTATGGCATCCTTTTCTCTGACTTCTCTTCTTTTCACATTGCGTCACATTGGAATCTTCCCTGTCTTGTGATTTTGGTGAAATCTTTTCAATGCATTGGTGATATGGAACCACTGCCACTGTAACTGGGTGGTAAAAGATGCCATAATTCCTGTTCAAGCATGTGCCTAGAGTGAACTATGTGGGAGAGGTGGAAGGCAGCAGGAAGACCAATTATGAGATGTAGTGACTCTAAAGGAAGCCACAGGCTTGAGTTTCCAAGAGCTGAGCAGGGCTGTTGAGGACAGGCCATTTTGGAGATCACTCATTCATGGGGTCACCATAAGTCAGAGGTGACTTAGTGGCATATAACAACAAGAACAGTATGAACTATAGAAAATAGATTTTTGGAGGGAAAATAATGAGGCTGTTTCTAATTTACAGAACAATCAGTAGGAAATGATGTACCCTCCTGATAGAATCTCTTAAGAGTTTATAGAATTTTACTGTTTTTATCCAAACTATATGATGGTTGCCACCTACTGGTTATTTCCAATGATTTACAACCAAACAAGAATTGCTTCTGTTTAATACCTGTGTATTATTTATCTAGAAGGTTAGTTTCCATTTGAATTTTAATTATCTGAGATATAGATTCCTAGCAACGTAATTTTTTTTTCAATCAGAAGAGCTCAAGGACATCTCTAGAAATAAAATGTTACTGAAACTGGCTCGCTTGCATGGTAATAGTCTTTCAGGCAGAATAAAAACAAATGTATTCATGTAGTTTCATACAATTTTTTTTAAGGATTTAATGATAAGTCCAATAATATCTTCCTTTATACACTACTAAGCACTTTCTCTGAAACAGATCAGATCTTTCCTGTTTTTATCTTATACGTCTCCTTATTTGAACATTTATTATTTAGATACTTGCTGGCTATTTTTAGGACGATCCTAAGTCATTTTATTTTAGTTTATCATGGTGTACTTTGTCTTTATTAATAACATTAAGTAAAGGTATTCAAACTTTCTGGACTTGAACATTCAGAGCAGATATAAAATCAGAAGTTTACATTGTTGTTGTTGTTTGCTAATTTGATTTTTTTGCTGCTTTGACGCATGGATTTTTTCCAAAGAATTCTGGGAATTGTAGTTTGGTAAAGTAGCTGAGCCCTTTTTAAGGATCAGTACCTGAGGGATGCAGAAGGTGGGTCTCCAGATGTTTTCTAATTTGTTCCCAGCTATCCCTGCTAGCATAGTGACTTGGCATCTAAAAAGGAAAGCTACCTTCTATCCATTCCTGTCACAAACAGAACACACATATAGTTCAAACAAAATAGAAGTTGTGTTCTTGAAGACTTTAACGGCGGGATCCAATGGTTCTTATGGGTTTTTTGGGCTTTCTGGCCGTGTTCTGGAGGTTTTTTCTTCCTGACGTTTCGCCAGTCTCTGTGTCTGGCATCTTCAGAGGACAGGAGCTAGAACACAGAGATAATTCTAGATCCTATCCTCTGAAGATGCCGTGCCGCAGAGACTGATGAAACATTAGGAAGAAAAACCTCCAGAACATGTCCAAACATCCCGAAAAACCTACAAGAACCAAAAGAGAAGTTCCTAGAATTCACTAGAGAAAAACCTTTGGTGTTTAACCTGTTTAAAGCTACAAATTTATAGTTTCCTCCGAATTCTGTGATGGCCCACTCATCAGAACCTTGCTAGTGGTCTTAGCACTTATTGGCTGAAAACCTGTTGTACAGTTCCACAAATGGGGTAACTTTTGGTGAGAATTACCCTAAGTTAAGAAATCTCTGGAGGCATTGTTTGTTGCCCCTTGAGTCACACAACACAGTAGAAATGTTGGTGGAGATTTCTCTTTTGAAAGCAACTACACTATTTGAATAGCTGTGCAACAGGATTCCAGCCATTTACTCTTGTGTTTTATTCCTGACTTTTCATGTTATTTTGGAGCAAACTGTTATAAGTGAACAGCGTAGAGTAAAACATCCAGGCTATGCTTTCTGGGGAGGATGGAAGCTGTAGTCAAGGACACATAGAAGGCACTAAATTGGGGAAGGCTGGACTAGGATCACTGAAAACTGACTCAAGAGAGGCTGCTATCTAAAGCAAACCACATATTTCATAATCTTTTTCATTTGTAATACTTGCCAGTCCCTGCAAACAAATTTCAAGGTAGCTTGATCTTTAAATCAAGTTTTTAAACTAATTTTGAGTTCAGAATTTTTGCATTTATAAACTGAGCTAATTTTCTCAGCCTGTTCTATTTTGATCTGTTTTTCATTTTTTTTTACTCTGTAAAGATAACACTGCAGCAAGATTGGATCACCTGTTTTGTATTTTCCTTTTAGGGAGAACAAACGGTACCGAGTCTATGTGGTCATCCCCCTTTTGCCAGGATTCGAAGGTGACATTTCAACTGGAGGAGGAAATGCACTGCAAGCCATCATGCACTTTAACTACAGGTATCCTGCATGTCCAGGTCTTCTGGATTCTTTTCTCATCCACAACAAAGCATTTTGGAGGCTGATCTCAAAAATGCATCTTGGGGATCAGTGTGCACATTCTGTGAGTTTTTACAAGCAAAAAGGATATCTGAGAGGAGGTTTAACCCTGAATCCAACATGCTGATTTCAACCAGAATCATTGCCAATGTTGACAAGACTGTTGGTAGAAGGTCATCGTCGTTTAATCATGGCCGAATCTTCATGACCCCATGGAGCAGAGCACGCCAGGCCCTCCTATCTTCCACTGCCTCCTGGAGTTGTGTCAAATTCATTCTGGTAGCTTCAATGACATTGTACAACCATCTCATCCTCTGTCGTCCCCTTCTCCTCTTGCCTTCACACTTTCCTAACATCAAGGTCTTTTCCAAGGAGTCTTCTCTTCTCATGAGATGGCCAAAGTATTGGAGCCTCAGATTCAGGATCTGTCATTCCAATGAGCACTCAGGCTTGATTTCCTTTAGAATTGATAGGTTAGTTCTCCTTGCAGTCCAGGGGACTCTCAAGAGTCTCCTCCAACACCACAATTCAAAAGCATCAGTTTTTCGGCAGTCAGCTTTCTTTATCGTCCAGCTCTCACTTCCATACATCACAACAGGAAAAACCATAGCTTTGACTATTCGGACTTTTGTTGGCAAGGTGATGTCTCTGCTTTTTAAGATGCTGTCGAGGTTTGTCATCACTTTCCTCCCAAGAAGCAGGCATCTTTTAATTTCGTGGCTGCTGTCTCCATCTGCAGTGATCATGCAGCCCAAGAAAGTAAAATCTGTCACTGCCTCCATATCTTCCCCTTCAATTTCTCAGGAGGTGATGGGACCAGTGGCCATGATCTTAGTTTTTTTGATGTTCGGTTTCAGGCCGTTTTTTGCACTCTCCTCTTTCACCCTCATTACAAGGTTCCTTAATTCCTCCTCACTTTCTGCCATCAGAGTGGTATCATCTGCATATCGGAGGTTGTTGATATTTCTTCCGGCAATCTTGATTCCGGCTTGGGATTCCTCCAGTCCTGCCTTTCGCATGATGTATTCTGCATATAAGTTGAATAAGCAGGGGGA